TTTTTGGAAGATATAAATTAAAAAATTTAAGTAGACCTCTTTAAGTAGAATTCTTAATGAACTTGGAAGAAATAGTATAGACAATAGTTATTGCTGAAAATAAAGATACAATTTCTGAACAAAAACTAGAAAAACCATTATATAAAGAAGAAGCAAATCTCAAACCATTATATTCCTTATCAAGGAACTATAGAACTATATCAAGGTGGTAGCATCTTTAAAGTATTCATCACTTTAAAAACAAAATCACACCTGTACATACACATACATACAGTCATCTCAAAAAACTAAATACAACAAAAATGATTTTTAAGAATAGAAAAAAAATACTTCTGATAAATGAAGCTATATGAATTCATTTCCACCTGAACTACAAGAACTACTAAGTAATATTCTCTAATCTTGAGGAAAAATGAGAATAAAAATCAGAGAAAATGTGTAACTACAGAAAAAGTTATAACAATGTATTTGGATGTAAAATATTATAAGTATAGGATAAAGGACAATGGGAGATAATCAGATCTCTACGGCTGCAAGATTTCCACATTATATAGTTTGTGTATAATGTTAGCTCTAGTCCATTTTACAGAATTAAGAAAGAATATCATAACTCCTAGGGAAAAGAGTAAAAAAAAGTGAAAATCAAATGCCTATAATTTATATTAAAATGGAATTTTAATTGAAATATTCAAAGAGACAAAAGTAAGGTTAAAAGTGATATGGGATAGGCAAGTAAGTAATTTAGGTTGGGTGAGCTGGAAGTTGCTACAACCCCCATATATAATTCTGTCTTCCTACTTGTCAATACAAACACCTTCATTTCTGGGATGCATTTGCTTCATCTAGGACTTAAGGGAAGATGCCATGAAAATATGGATATTAAGCGCCACATGGTACTTGCAGAGGTACCATATAAATTCCCAGGTGGCTTAAGGCTTTGTAGGACCCCCTACTTCATAAATAGACACGAGTTGTCTCTCTTCTAACCCTCCATTCTCTTGCAGCAGACCAAGGTTCAAGTGCTGCACAGATGTCCTTTCTCTTTCCCTCCCCACACCGCTCCTCCTTTATGGCAATATCCCGACCCATTGCCCAAACATGATGAGCATTTCTTTTTTGGGGCAGCCCAAACTCACAAATGTCTCATCTTTGGCATAAATTTTATCACTTTAAGTACCTTATATGTGTCTTCCCTTAGAATGCTTTATCTTGTTAGAAGACAAGAGCCTGGAGTGAAATTAATATATGCAAGTTGGGGCAGACACTATGACATAGCGGGTAAGGCTGTTGCCAGCAGTGCTGACATCCCATATGGGCGCTGGTTCAAGTCCCAGCTGCTCCACTTCTGATCCAGCTCTCTGCTATGGCTTGGGAAAGCAGTGGAATATGGACCAAGTGCTAGGGCCCCAGCACCTACATGGGAGACTCAGAGGAAGAAGCTCCTGGCTCCTGGCTTTGGCTTCAGATCAGACCAGTTCTGGCTGTTGCAGCCATTTGGGGGAATAAACTATTGGATGGAAGATCTCTCTCCATCTCTCACTCTCTCTTTCTGCAGACATTTGAAGAAGTGAACCATTGGATGGAAGATCTCCCCCCCTACCCCCGCCTCTGCACAACTCTGCTTTAAAATAAATATTTAAAAAATATATGCCAGCCTATATTAAAAGGATAACAAAAACAATATGAAAGGACCAATATAAAACAAATAATAAAATGATAAGCCTAAATTCTACCCTGTCAGAATTACATTTAATATTAACAGATAAAACATGTCAGTTTAAGACTCGATAAAAACATAAGACTCAACAATATGTTCTATGCAGGAGATATAATGGATGCCTTGTAATGAAGCCTTGAAATACAAGAAGCAAAAATATAATTAAGATGAGAAGTAGGCATTTTTAAAAAAATGTTAGGAAATTTTAAAACTACTACCTCAGCAACTGATAGCATTAGACATATATCAATGAAATCAAGAGGATCTTATAAACACCACAAGGCCTGATTTTCATAGTTATAAAAGATAAATGAACAAAATTACAAGGAAAAACCTATTATAACAGAAGTTTTTAACTTACCTCTCTTAGAAGTGAAAAACCAAATTTAAAACTAGCAAAGATTTTAACAATACAACATGAAAAACACATTTTCAAGTTTATGTAACAGGAAATACACATTCTTTCCTAGCACCTTAGGAACATTATAACTGACTATGCCCTAATTATAAAGCAAATCTCATTAGAATATCATGCCACAGTGTCCAACCATCATTTTTTTTAAAAATAGCATATTTAGAAATCTGAAGACATATCAAAACTCATGCATCAAAGGAGAATTGTAGTAAGAATTAGGAAATATCTCAAACCAAATATTAATGAAAATTATATATCATTAATAAAATTATATGTGAAAACATTTAAAATACATTTTAAGTGATATTTAGAGAAAAGTTCTATTTTAGAAAAGAAAATGACATAAGAGTGGGAATAAGAGAAGGAAGAGATGTACAATTTGGGACATGCTCAAGCTGACTTGCCTCAAATGGTAGAGTTAGAAACATACCAGGGGACTCCAATTTAATCCCATCAAGGTGGCATGTACCAGTGCCATCTCACCAGTCCAAGTGATCAATTTCAGTTCACAATTGATCATAATGAAAGGACTAAGAGTCAAAGGAAGCACATAAACAAGTCTAGTACCTGCTAATACTAACTGATAGAATAAATAAAGGGGAGAGTGATCCAACATGGGAAGTGAGATACTCAGCAGAGTCATAGAATGGTGGATGTCCTAAACAGCACTCTGGCCTCAGAATCAGCCCTAAAGGCATTCCGATCTGGCTGAAAAGCCCATGAGAGTATTTCAGGCATGGAAAGCCAAGACACTCTGGCAAAAAAAAAAAAAAAAAAACCCTAAATGAAAGATCTCTGTGAGTGAGATCCCAGTGGAAAGAACAGGTCTTCAAAGAAGGAGGTACCTTTCTCTGAAGGGAGGAGAGAACCTCCACTTTGACTATGACCTTGTCTAAACAAGATAAGAGTCGGAGAACTCAAGGGGCTTCTATAGCCTTGGAAACTCATGACTGGTGCATAGGGATATTACTGATGCCATAAACAGGAGTGTCAATTTCTAAAGTCAACAACAGGAATCACTGTGCACTTACTCCTCATGTAGGATCTCTGTCCTTAATGTGCTGTACATTGAGACTTAATGCTATAATGAGTACTCAAACAGTATATTTCGCTTTGTGTTTCTATGGGGGTGCAAACTGTTGAAATCTTTACTTAATGTATACTAAACTGATCTTCTGTAAAAAAAAAAAAGAGAGAGAAATTATCAATTCCCAACTTGACTCTCACTGGGATTAAACATGACAATAGGTCTGATCTGATTTCATCATCATTTAAAAAATCATCTATTATTTTTCACTTTATGTTTGTGTGGGAGCAAACTGTTGAAATCTTTACTTAATGTATGCTAAACTGATCTTCTGTATATAAAGAGAATCGAAAATGAATCCTCATGTGAATGGAAGGGGAGAGGGAGTGGGAAAGGGGAGGGATGCGGGTGGGAGAGACGACATGGGGGGGAAGCCATTTTAATCCATAAGCCGTACTTTGGAAATTTATATTCATTAAATAAAAGTTAAAAAAAAAGAAAATGGCTAAAACAAAAGTGAACAAAATTAACTCAAAGAATATATTTATGATAATGATATTTGATTAACCCTGCCATGATGAAGCAGCGGTTTAATTTGATTTATAGCATTGATGCCTATGTTTTCAACAACCTGTGAAAACTTTATCTCTTTCAATAGGAAAACACAGTTATAGAAAAGAACTCAAATTGGTAAACAAATATGGATATTCAAATATCTACTGAAGCCAAAAAAACTAATATAAATTTATTTTTGATAATAAAAGAGTGTAAATAGAAAATATATAAATAAACCATATTGCATCTTTACATATAAAAGGCATTTAGGGGAGTGCAGGGAATATACCATGTAAGCAAATAGTTAATTTTGAGTGGCATGTAAGCTTTTCATTATGGAATCTCCAAGTAAGTACTTAAATGTAAAATCATCTCCTATGTTAAGCAGCAAAGTTAAATCTGCAATAATTTAATCAATTGCAGATGGAGTATATGACAATGGTACAAAAAAAAAGCGCCAACCAATAGAACATGAAATAATTCTAAGAAATGTTGTGATTTATGGATCACCCATTATAATAGAACAATATTTTCTAAATATGACTCTATAACACATTTTCAGAAAGTAAAATGTATTTGATTAACTACCAGGTTTTAACCATTCTATTTTCAAAAACAACCAATTGTGTGAGAAAAACATGCAACTCAGATCATTACCAATACTATGTGAAATGCTTTGATCATCTAAGTTACAGATATATATATATATATATACACACACACACACACACACACACATACATACACATATGAACTTTTATTCTTTCTAGTTAGTACACAAACCCAACATAAAATCTTTATTTGGGATTAAAATTGTATTTTCAATGTGGAAGTATTAAGATGAATAAAACATACCAATAAAACCTTAATTAAATGGCAGAAACTGAAATAAAGGGAAGAATCTAGAAAACTATAGACTATAAGGTAATTTAGGAATTAGGTTTGAGTGTCAGAAATACAGTGCCATTTTATTTTTTGCACCTCAACCCTGTAAAATTGGCCAAATTTCTTACATTATCTCCTCTGCTGCCATATGTCAGCCATTCATTATGCAATATTTGGTTGAAACAGTCTCTACAGAGCATGACTTTCAAAGTACAGAAGTGAGCTGGTAGGAAGAAGGGAAGTAAGAAAGTTTGAGGCATAATGCAAAGAGCTTTAGAAGGTACAAAGAGGTATTTATGACTAGAAGCCATCTCCTATTATCTTTTTTCTACCAAAACATCTCTCCTACTTGAAGTCACCATGTCTCCAGTGTTGATTTCTTTTGAAAGCATACATCTTACCATGTGGAATTGTAGTCTGGAAGGGGCGACTTGGGCTTTTCAGGTTCCATAAGGTCAAGCTACCATCTGAATGGCTGCACATGAACTGTTTGCCCTCATGATGCCAATCAATTGAATGAATAGCCTAATAAGATAACAATTAAAAACAAATGTGTGGGGGGAGTAGCCAGATTACATCAGCATATATTCCTATAAAATATGGACATAAAATTATTATATGAACACTCAAAAAACATGATTTTTCTGACCCAGATCAGAATGTATTTGACTTCAACCAAGCTTATAAAAGGTTAAAAAACTACTAAATCTGACTTGGAAAATCAGTATATATTCATGAAATCTATTCTCTTTGACAAATTCATTTTCTAGTTCTCTCCATAAAACCATCTGGAGACGATTACAATTCAGTAGAAGTGAGCAGGAAAGGGTGCCCTGTGTCTCCTTCAAGTCACCACTTGCTCCCTAGGGTAACCACTGTCAAGATTTCAAACACATATTACTTCTGTGAGGATTAAGCTTGTTACCAATGGAATAATACAGCATAAACTCTTTTGTGTGCCTGTCTCAGTGTCGTGCTTCTGCATGCATCCATGCTATTATATGTCCTTTCCATTTGCTCATTTTCATTGCCTGTAGTGCTCTACTTTGTGAATATTGTACAACTTATTTATCTCTTCAATTAGCGGATACTCTATCTATCTATCTATCTATCTATTTTCTATTAGGGGATATTTTGTGTGTTTACCAAAAGGAAAATCCTAGCTTAGCTCCCTAAGAATTTCTTTCCTAATGATTCAAAATACCTTGGAAAGGGGTCATACAGAAAAATACATATATATATATATATTTATATCATATAACATTAATTGCCAGATTTTTACCAATCATGACCAAACACCAGTTATCTTATATACAGCATAAGAACTTAGTTTGAGACAACCAATAAGAAATTAATTTGTAACTTAAAAATAAATGAGGACACATATGTATATACACACACTTTTAAGAACCATATTTTAGTACTTTAACTCTCATAAAGAGATTAGAAAAAAATCATCCTACGGTGGCTACATGTTCATTTGGTGACATTTTTATTCCTACAATGATCAAAAAACAGTGTTCTAAAAGAAATGTGTTTTTCCTTTTCTGTTTATTATGGTGCTGCCTTAAATGATTTGACACTCTTCCCACACAAGAGTAAATGTGGGGGCCTGTGCTGTGGCATAGAGGGTAAAGCCACTGCCTGCAGTGCCAGCATCCCACGTGGGCACCGGTTCGAGTCTCGGCTACTCCACTTCTGATCCAGTTCTCTGCTGTGGCTTGAGAGGGCAATGGAGGATGGTCCAGATGCTTGGGCCCCTGCACCTGCATGGGAGATGTGCAGGAGGCTCCTGGCTCCTGGCTTCAGACAGTCTCAGCTCTGGCCATTATGGCTATCTAGGGAGTGAACCAGCAGATCAAAGACACCTCTCTCTCTCTCTCTCTCACTCTCTCTCTCTGCCTCTCTGTAGCTTTGCCTTTCAGGTAAAATATTAAAAAAAAAAAAAAGAGTAAATGTGACTATACAGAGATTTTTGACCATTTTCTTTCTACCTCTCCCCCCCACTCCCATCACTTTTTTTTTTTTTTTTTTTTTTTTTTTTGGACAGGCAGAGTTAGACAGAGAGAGAGACAGACAGAGAGGAAGGTCTTCCTTTTTTCCATTGGTTCACCCCCCATATGACTGCTACAGCCAGCGTGCTGTGCCAATCCGAAGCCAGGAGCCAGGTGTTTCCTCCTGGTCTCCCATATAGGTGCAAGGCCCAAGGACCTGGCCCATCCTCCACTGCCTTCCTGGACCACAGCAGAGAGCTGGACTGGAAGAGGAGCAAACGTGACAGAATCCGGTGCCCCAAATGGGACTAGAACCCGGGCTGCTGGCGCTGCAGGCAGAGGATTAGCCTAGTGAGCTGAGGTGCCGGCCTCACTTTTCAAATAAACTTAGGAGCATAGATGATCATCTTTATTTCCAGGGCTACAAGGGATATTTTCCCTGTTTATCTTTTGCCCCACCTTCACTATCTTTGTATTAGCTTCCTCTGAAGGGGGAAACAATGGTCTGTAATCAATCTCTGAAAAAACAAAATGTCAAATAGGAGGCTAAATAGAAGTTTGTTGCTGCCCCTAAATGAAAATCTAATCTAGGAGCTTGTTTGTGGTACAGTAGATTAAGCCACTGGTTACAAAGCCAGCAACCCATATCAGAGCACCAATTTGAGTCTCAGCTGCTTTGATTCCTATCCAGCTCCCTGCTAATGTGTCTGGAAAAGCAGCAGATGATGTCCCACATACTTGAGCCTCTGACACTCACATGGGAGACCCAGATAGAGTTCTGGGCTCCTGATTTCAGGCAGGTCCACACCTTGCTATTGTAGCCATTTGAGGAGTGAATCAGTGGAAGGAAGATTTCTCTCTCTCCCTCCCTCTCTGCCTTTCAAATAACTAAATAATTAAATATATCCTTAAAAAAGGAAAATCTAATCAAGCCTCAATTAGGTACTATAAAATATACTTCAAGATTTTATTTTAATTTATTAAGAACTACTATTTACAAAAATCTTATTCTTTGAAGGTAAGTATTAGGAAATAATGAATTTAAAAATGACTTAATTTTTTGCCATGGAATTTGAATTTTCTAAGGAAGATGTAAATATTTTCTTTAGAGAACTTAAAGACAATGAGGCAAGACACAGCATGGGGTCTAGAGGAAAGAAAAGGAGTTGACACTAAAGTGGAGATACAATATAGGTGACAGGCACTCAAGTATATAATGTATTTACAAAAAGCCAAAAATAGGCAGTAAAGGTAGAATTCACATTTCGGAGAATAACCCGAAGTTGAAATATGCAAATGTCAAAAGCAAGTTTTAACACTTGGTCAGAACTAGGCAATGTCCTAATGATAAAATACTGGTACAGCACAAAGTTTAGAAGTAGGAACAGGCCCTAAGTCAGCAATCTTCTCAAGTCTTTTGGTAGAAATCACTTACCTCATCATAATAAACTCTCAAGTCTGCTCTTTTAGATTTCAAATCCCAGAAGACTACTGTACCATTTTCATATCCTATTAGGAGCTGTAAAACATTATGAACATTTTTATTACATTATTATTATTATTTTGTAATTATTATTACAAAACTATTACATTGATCAGCACGGGAGTTTTGACCTGCTCCATTTCCGACCTGGGCCGGTTCACCACTCCTTAGGCAAGCTGGTGGTCCCCCGCTCCTGGGAGGTCACCATATTGATGCCAAACTTAGTGCAACACCCGATTGGCATAGCGCATGACAGCCCAGAACTCCTGGACTCAAGCGATCCTCCGGCCTCAGCCTCCCGAGTAGCTGAGACTACAGGCGCGCATTTTAACTTGCTTCAAATAAAGTTTAATGTTGGGGCCAGTGCTGTGGCATAGTAGGCTAAGCCTCTACCTGCAGAGCCAGTTTATGTCCTGGCTGCTCCACTCACAATCCAGCTCCCTGCCATAGCCTGGGAAAGCAGTAGAAGATGGCGCAAGTGCTTGGGTCCCTCCACCCATGTGGGAGACCTGCAAGAAGCTCCTGGCTCCTGGATTTGGATTAAACCAGCTCCAGCCATTGCGGCCATTTGGAGCGTGAACCAGAGGATGAAAGGACTGTTCTGTCTCTCCCTCTGTCTTTAATGCTACCTCTCAAATAAATCAATAAGTAGTTTAATGTTAATACAATAAAGTAAAATCATACCATACAATAAATCTTATTTATAATATTATTTTAGAACTTAAATGTCGGTTTATCACACTTTTAAAAAAGATTTATTCATTTATTTCAGCCGGCGCCGTGGCTCAATAGGCTAATCCTCCGCCTTGCGGCGCCGGCACACCGGGTTCTAGTCCCGGTCAGGGCGCCGAATTCTGTCCCAGTTGACCCTCTTCCAGGCCAGCTCTCTGCTATGGCCAGGGAGTACAGTGGAGGATGGCCCAGGTGCTTGGGCCCTGCACCCCATGGGAGACCAGGAAAAGCACCTGGATCCTGGCTCCTGCCATCGGATCAGCGCGGTGCGCCGGCTGCAGCGGCGGCCATTGGAGGGTGAACCAACGGCAAAAAGGAAGACCTTTCTCTCTGTCTCTCTCTCACACTGTCCACTCTGCCTGTCAAAAAAAAAAAAAAAATTTATTCATTTATTTGAAAGTCAGAGTTACAGAGAAAGAAGGAGAGAGAGAGATCTTCCATCTACTGGTACACTCCCTAGGTAGCCACAATGGCCAGGGGTGGGCCAGGTCAAAGACAGGAGATTAATCCAGGTCTCTCAAGTCTCCCAAATACTTGAGCCATCTTCCACTGCTTTACCCAAGCGCATTAGTAGGAATTGGATCAGAAATGGAACAGCCAGGATATGAACCAGTGCCCATGTGAGAGGCCAGCATTGCAGGTATCATCTTTACTTGTTATGCCACAACACCAGCCCCAGTTTCTCACATCTTAAAAATGGCACATAAACTTTCAAATAAAAATGTATCAAGAATTTCAACTCATTCCAAAGAAGAATTAGGTAAGCATGTAAATACAAAGAGAGAGAGAGAAAGAGAGAAAGAAAGAGAGAGAGAGAGAGAGAATAAGAAAAACAGAGTAGAAATTATAATGAAATAAAATGTGGAATGTTTAATAAACTCTGAATATACCAGTGAGGCCAATGATTTTGAAAAATGGACAGATTTTTGCTTCAAATTTCTTTATATCAAATCATGTTGTATCTTTGATGACAATATTTTAAACTGATGGCTTTTACATCCACAGAAGTTAAAAGCTCTTTTAGAGAATCACATCATTAAAATGGCTAGTTTTTTAATTAATTTAATTAAGAAATTTTTGGATTAACATGAAATACCTGTACATTTTGTGGAGTATAGTGCAATATGTCAACAGATACACAACATAAAACAGTAATGGACAGAAATTAACCTGTTTCCATCTTGTGGTTTAGAGTTAACCTAAAGTTTTGTGTATACCAGAATCTATTACCTTCACCTGACTGTATTTTGGTGCTCATTCAAATTCCCTCTAATCCCCCACCTTTCTCAGCTTCTACTAATCACTATGTTTGAATGATTAACACTTAACATAATGATCAGTAAATCAATAAACCAGATAATTTATAAATATATATTCTTTTTTGAAAATAGACCATTTGAGAACAACAAAACATTAAATATCAGGTCATTAAAGCAATATGTAGTTATTTTTGAAGCTATATTGTATTCTTAAGTGTTTCATTATTAAACTATACACAAGTTTTGAAAATGATTTAATAATTGAGCTTGACATACTAATTTATTTGCTAAATAAAAGTCAAAATTAAATATATAAATAAGATTTCTTCACATAAAACATATATAAAGTCATATATTGATATGTTTCAACTTCAAATCAATTCTTTTTACATACCTGAGAAAATCAATTTTTTTTTTCATTTAATTTTTTTTTTAACTTTTATTTAATGAATATAAATTTCCAAAGTACGATTTATGGATTACAATGGCTTCCCCCACATACCGTCCCTCCCACCCACTACCCTCCCCTTTCCCACTCCCTCTCCCCTTCCATTCACATCAAGATTCATTTTCGATTATCTTAATATACAGAAGATCAGCTTAGTATACATTAAGTAAGGATTTCAACAGTTTGCTCACACAAAAACCAAAAGTGAAAAATAATAGATGATTTTTTTTAAATGATGATGAAATCAGATCAGACCTATTGTCATGTTTAATCCCAGTGAGAGTCAAGTTGGGAGTTGCCAATTTCTTTCTTTTTTTTTTTTTTTTACAGAGGATCAGTTTAGTATACATTAGGTAAAGATTTCAACAGTTTGACCCCCATAAAAAAGCAAAGTGAAATATATTGTTTGAGTACTCGTTATAGCATTAAATCTCAATACACAGCACATTAAGGACAGAGATCCTACATGAGGAGTAAGTGCACAGTGACTCCTGTTGTTGACTTTACCAATTGACACTCCTGTCTATGGCATCAGTAGTCTCCCTATGCTCCGGTCATGAGTTTCCAAGGCTATGGAAGCCCTCTGAGTTCTCGGATTCTTATCTTGTTTAGACAAGCTCATAGTCAAAGTGGAGGTTCTCTCCTCCCTTCAGAGAAAGGTACCTCCTTCTTTGAAGACCTGTTCTTTCCACTGGGATCTCACTCGCAGAGATCTTTTGCCAGAGTGTCTTGGCTTTCCATGCCTGAAATACTCTCATGGGCTTTTCAGCCAGCTCTGAATGCCTTTAGGGCTGATTCTGAGGCCAGAGTGCTATTTAGGACATCTGCCATTCTATGAGTCTGCTGAGTATCTCGCTTCCCATGTTGGATCACTCTCCCCTTTATTTATTCCATTGGTTAGTGTTAGCAGGTACTAGACTTGTTTATGTGCTCCCTTTGACTCTTAGTCCTTTCATTATGATCAATTGTGAACTGAAATTGATCACTTGGACTAGTGAGAAGGCATTGGTACATGCCACCTTGATGGGATTGAATTGGAATCCCCTGGTATGTTTCTAACTCTACCATTTGGGGCAAGTCAGCTTGAGCATGTCCCAAATTATACATCTCTTCCCTCTCTTATTCCCACTCTTATGTTTAACAGGGATCACATTTCAGTTAATTTTTAACACTTAAGAATAACTGTGTATTAATTACAGAATTAAACCAGTCATATTAAGTAGAACAGACAAAAAAACTACTAAGAGGGATAATGTATTAAGTTGTTCATTAACAGTCAGGGCTATGCTGATCAAGTCACCATTTCCCATAGTGTCCGTTTCACTTCAGGAGGTTTCCTTTTTGGTGTTCAGTCAGTTGTCACCGATCTACTGAGTATATGAAACTATGGAAAAGATTTGTTAGTCTAAAAAGTTTGGAAACTATCACCTAAGTAATAAGATGAATAATATGCTGTCTCCACATTTGAGACTAATGATGCAATCAAATCACATTCTAAAAAACTATTATATTTTTTCAAAGTATTTGAAACATAATGTTGCTCTGTTTAGAAATCACTAGCAATAGCTCCAGTAAATCACAAAATATAAAATATTGCATCAAAACAACATAAATTTTTGCAATAAATAAGATTGTACTTTAGGAAATATAACATGAGACTACTTAAACAATTACAAAAGATAAATCAGCTTCTGATATTCAGGAGATACCAAAGACATTCTGTGACCAGGAAGGATCAAGACAAAAACAAAAAATCACATCTGATCTCACCAAACAATGGACATTTCCCAGGCCACAAATTATGCATACATATACATAATTTAAAAGAAATGTCTCTCACAACAGAATGTGAGTAGCACAAAGGTAAAGAAGGATGACTTGTTTACTATTATTTCAACAGAACCTGGAACTGTATCTGAAGAAAAAAGTTACTTGATAAGCATTAAGCTAATTATTAAATACCAGAATCAAAATGATACCACATTCTAACCACAGTGAAATAAAATGAGAAATTATTGACAAAAATATTTCAGAAACTAAAAAAATTTTTGGATACAATATTTTTTAAATTTTAATTTTTTTAATTTTTTTATTTTTTGACAGGCAGAGTTAGACAGTGAGAGAGAGAGACAGAGACAAAGGTTTTCCTTTTTCCGTTGGTTCACCCCCCAAGTGGCTGGTACAGCCAGCATGTTGCAGCTGGCGTGTTGCGCTGATCCGAAGCCAGGAGCTTCCTTCTGGTCTCCCATGTGGGTGCAGGGCCCAAGGACTTGGGCCATCCTCCACTGCACTTCCGGGCCACAGAAGAGTGCTGGACTGGAAGAGGAGCAACCGTGATGGAATCTGGTGCCCCAACCGGGACTAGAACCTGGGGTGCTGGCACCGCAGGCAGAGTAGATTACCCTAGTGAGCCGCGGTGCCGACCTGATACAATAATATTTTGGAAACAAAATATTAAGCACTTTTTTAATAAAGGACAAAGAAGAAATTACAATGAAGTAGAACTGAACAAAAAATGCCTCATATCAAAATTGTTGGGACTTAGTTGCATCTTAATAGGGACATTTTGTTTTACAAGTACATATAAAAAGAAAATC